TTTTTTTGCCCTGAAGAAGGCCACAGAGGCTGAAACATGTTGGCATGTTTTTAATGGATAACCAAGTTTAAATAAAGGCTTTTAAAACTTATATTCCTTGTGAGTGCCTCAGAACTACTGTTTATTAAGTCATGAATATTTACCTTTAAGTCATGGAAAAGTCATGGAAAAGTCATGGAAATGTAATGGTAAAAATGTGTACGAACCCTGGTTGAAGCACACTCAAAGAATAATTTGCCAGCAAAAATCAACTATGGCCCTTTGATTGCTGTCAAACAGGCTTCAGAAGTCGACATTAAAATGACGTTTACTTTGGTATCTGGTGTTGACATGACAGTGACAAGTAAAGCCCTTCCTATTTACCCTCTGTTTTCCACCCGTCTGCCAGCTGAAAAAGGGGGAGGCAGATTTATCAAGAAGGCCCCGAGTCTCTTGCCTGAACATGGTCAGCAAGCATGGAATATCTGCTGAAGAGGTGGGGGATGTGAATCGGATCCTTGAACGGGGACTCTAACCTTCCTGTGAGGCTGGCTGCCGCTCCGTGTCTTGGATGAACAAGTCGAACATCTGCGTCTTGACAAACTTTTCGACGAATGTGCGGATGCTGCGGGAATCTGCCGCCCTGCAGAAGCCCCGCCTGTCAAAGGTCGCCGGCTGGCCGTTCCTGGGACGCCTGATGAACTTGCCGAAGTGGCCGACCGTCTTCACGAAAAAGAGCAGGAAGGCACTGGACACCACGCCATTCAGCTCCTCCAGCGCTGCCCGAACACAACATGGGAGTTAATGCGATGTGTACTGTATATCTCACTAATTTAAAATGAGCAGGTCGTTCTTACAGATGGAACTTTAGGTCAGCATGTACGACTAAAAAGCTGCCAGCTGAACAGATGGAGGAGCAGCTAGCATGAACCAGCCAAAACTGCACACTGGATCCTTCTCTGCAACTGTCAGAGTGTGAGCTTTTACAAATGAAAGATAGAATTACTGGGGCCACAACCTAGCCTTAGCTATGGGGAAAAAACGCTCATGTGGTTTCCATACATCTGTGATGTAATTGACACAAAAAGTGTTACACACTCGAGTCATTCCTCCTATGGCTTAAGGCCTCCATAATCTCATCCCGTAGCTTTGGAGGTAGGATGTCCTGCTCGTCCTTGCTCTGTTAATGAGAAACAGGAGTGACGGTCAGAGAGCAGTGCTTTGTAGCAAACAGGACGAGCTGAGGAACTGCAGGCTTACGCTGGATGTGATGGTCTCTGGAGATCCCTCGGATAAGTCCACAAGCAGCAGCTGCAGAGGGAAACACAGAAAGAAATTATGGCAGAACAAGTTCGGATGACACCCGCCTGGGAAGCTACTGCAGGATCACTGAACTGAGAAACCACCCCGGTGTCTGCCAAAAGCACGAAATCACCTGCTGTAGAATCACAGCTCTATAAAGTTACTCCATGCAAACAGGTAGGGGACAGAGCCACAATGTTAGCCAGAGAACCGCTCTGAAAGGCGTCTAAGAGGTCTACTTCGTGCACGAAGGTCAACGAGCAGCAGACTAGCTAAGGACCAAAAACTTACAAATTGAAGGCTGCTGCCTTGTCAAAAAGATCCCATAGTCGGATACAAAATACTTCAGTAAAATTTTCAACCGTTTCAGCAGTAACATTATGTAGCTTCATATCATTGTGCAGTGAAAATGCATAATCCAGACATTACATAAGGAAATCGCACTGGTCAATATTCCACCAACAGCCTTCTTGTATGTAAGACAACAAGAGCTGTGAAACTACCTATATGGTGAAATTCTCTTGCATACAGCAGCAAGGTGCATAAAGCGTCCAGATAAAACCACACTGAAAGACCTGTTCACCGCCTTGGCAAAGAGGGAACGCTTAGAAGATTGCTGTTGATTCCATCCATCCAATCACCTTTCCTGTAGCCATCCAGCTCCTTGATAAACTCACCTAACATTTCAATAATCCAATCAGTCAGGTGCAATCCATTCACCCAGGCACGGTTACCCTCCAGTACAGTGAACAACTGATTCTGTTTACTTTCAGGTTTTTCAGGTTATCGGACTGTTCTGCATTTGTGAAACCTCGGACCATACCCTTCCTCTTGGACTTTGCAGTCATTCGCACATGCTGCTCATGCTATTCTGTTTTAAAATGCCTGTTTTCTGTGAATTAGTCATTTCTGTTGAGTTCTGTAGTTAATGCATACATTGCAAAGCAGGGCATTTCTCCTACGTCGTAATTTCCTGTCCGTCATGCTCTGCACCAAACCACAACTAGTTCTGGTATGTATGTACATACTGGCAGTGAAGTGTTCAAAGTACTGAGTTCAGATACAGTGCAAAACAAAGTGCAAAGACAGCACACAACCGTGCAAATAATAAAAGGCACGTACTGGCCTTCCTCATCTTACTCAGTGCCATAGCCAGTGGACAGGAGGGTCACTCACGTCGTTTTGGTCTGAGATGAGATCCAGCAAGCGCTTCTGCACACCAAGCAGGTAGGGCGTGGGGGCCATGACGACGTCGATGAGGATCTCTGGGACGATGGAGATGAAGGTGTGCTGCCAGCTGAAGGGGTACAGCAGGGCCGCTACAGCATGGATCACCTGGGACAGCGTGCTGGTGGTGGGGGAGGGGCGGCATGGAGCGTTATACTGTATGGAAAGTGAAGATACTGTAGACATGGTAAACATGGCCCATAAGGGAAGTGTATGCAGCTGCTGAGCATTCCCTGAAGATACTGTACATGGCAAACATGGCCAACTTCCCATAAGCACTCCATGAAGATTGTAACTTCTGGGAATTCTTTTATGGATATAAGATAATATAATTTAAATTACAGCGACAATGTGTTAGTAAGATTTTTACTGACAAATTTCAGTATAAGTTTTCAGTATAGAAAAAATGTATAATTAAATCCAAGTTTTACTCAAACTAAATCATGATGGTTTTGCAGTAGCATGACTTGCATCAGTTATTTGACATTCAAGATTCCCACTCAATGAATTAGATTCACACCCATTTCTCTTCATTAACCCAGCTTGGCTCGACATTCAGCACTCACATACTCAGCACCTCATGAGAAAGCATGGAGAGCATTCTGGAATGTGACCACCTAGTTACAGAGATCTAGAATTCCACCCTCATACTGAGCTACTTTGGCCAAACCCAAGGCGCCTGGACACCTGAGCTCCTCTGCCACAAAGATGATGCGTCTCTCCATTACGGTGGCGGCAAACACCAGCAGGACCTGCTCATCACTCAGGCAGCGGAACAATATGCGGAAGTCCACATGTTCCAGCCATGAGTCCAGAGGCCGCGTCAGTGCGATCTCCTGGGCCGGAACAAAAGGAGAGGGGGTGGGGTGGTCAGAACCGGAACCCAGTCAACCACATCTCTGGTGTCTGAGTTTGCCACCTGATTCTGTGTCCAATCAAAGTTTAGCCACTAGCTCAGATTGTATGCCTTCATCGACATACCTGCCAACATTTATGTCCCAAAATACGAGAGTTTTTGTACCCTATATTAAAATCAGTCTTACAGACTCTGCAAAAGGCCACTATCCTGGTAACTAGCAGATATAAACAGGAGCTCTGTCCAACTCTGCTGAAATTAGTTTTTTTTGGTGGGACGCCATCCTGCCCTGACATTCTCACACCAGCTAAGTTAGCGAGCTCATTCATTCAGCATTCATCTGGCCTGCCGGGCTGCACAGAGAGAAGCACACACCCCTTGATGGAGTTGTGGGTTGCCCAGTTGTGGTCACAGAAGGGTTGAAATTGTAGGTACTGTGTGGACTGTGTCAAGATTGTGCTTCATGGATGATCTGGCAACCAGGGTAACGTCAGACAAAGACACAACTTATGGATCAATGTATGACTCACGCACTCACCTCTGTGCCAGACTCAGGGATGAAGCTCTTGATTCTCACTGTCTGCCCCGGTGCTGGAAATTGTGCTTCCCGCAAGCTCTGCATGAATGGATAGATCATCGCCATGGATTTCTGCCGTCGCTTCTCCACCTCGTCAAAGATCTGTACCGCAGAGGAACGTGAAATGGGGACCCATGGGGAATTTCAGTAAAAAAAAAATAAATGCAACCCTTTTTCTTTAAGAAGGTTGCTGTGGAAAATTGCTTACTAGGCAAGTCTTAAAGTGCTACATTAATACTTGTGCCTGTGTTTACCAGCTAGGCCATTAGGACCAGTAAATGGTTTTACCAGTTTAACAGAATAACAGAATGTGGCATGTCGGATCCATCGATTACCTTTGAGAAGAGTCCAAAACAGGCCAAACGGCTGATGATGCAATAGGCTTCCGGGGGACGGGCACCTTTGCCATTGGGCTTGTGGGGGGGGTGTGGAGTGGGTATGAAATAGTTATTATTGCAAATCTGATTCTCACACTGAAATCTAAGCCACTACCTTCCTGAAGAGACCAGTGTAAATCATGAGTCTTGTGTTACCAGCAGCCTGCGACAGTATCCATTTCTCCTGCTGCCATCCAGCTCCGTTAGAACAAAGGAGAAGGTCTCACTGGCGGAGGGTGGAAAGGCAAGAGAAAACAACACACTTGTTATGGAGCCCAACGTACCCTCAAGGAACAGACAATAGGAGAGAAGACACAGTCCATGACATTGACTCTTCTGGGTAGTGTGAGTTCTCACCGTCTCACCATATAGAATATGCAATAGAAATGGAGTCAGCTGCTCTCAATATCCATAAACCACACAATGATGCATCTTTAACTTTTTTTTTACCCACAAACGGGTAAAAATATGTACCTTTGCTTGTCACTGGCGCTGTACCATTGTAACTGTACCTTTTAAAATACAGAAATTGATTCTGAGGAACATCCCAAAGGTGCAAATGGTATTAATGTACCATCGATGGTACAGAAATGTTCTTCAGAGTCCTTTTCTGTACCATAAAAGGTACAATTAAGTACAGCTAAGGGTACGATTGGCTGACCCTTGAGGGGGTACATACTTGTACTCTTTTCCCAGGGAGTGTAAGACCAGGACAAAGAACTAACAGTCTGTGTGGTTTGTAGAACGAGTGCTGCTCTCTGCTTTGGTTCAGGGCTTCAGCGGAAATGGCCAGTTGGGGACGTCACAGGATCTCCATGAAGACACAAGCCAAGTTGAGGCTACAGCTAGAGGCAGCTTGTGGTGTTGTCCCAGGAGAATGACCTTGCTATTGGCATCTCACCTGTGGTATTCTGTCAGCGGTGCCCACTGGACCCCTTCGGGGAAGCAGAACAGGGTGATGGCCTTCAGAGTCTTCTCCTCTTCCTCCTTCTGGAGCTTCACCAGGCCATCACACTGTACTCCCAAATAGAGACCGAAGACGTCAACTGACAGAAGAGTCGCGCAGGTGTGAAAGATGCAGATTTTGCAGCAAAAGTAACAATTATGGATGTGTCTGCGAGAACCTTCACAAGTGCATCACTTCAGTAAAGGAGCAAAGAAAGCAGATGATAATAGTTGAAGCAGTTAAGCTGGAACAGCATGGCAGCAGAGGGGACAGAGGTCAGATTTGAACAGAGTCAATACTTATCAGACCAAGGGATGTCATGCAAATGTTAAGGATGTAGAGATTGAGAAGTGGGTTGGTTTTGGAGCTGGCCAAGCCAGACATAAGTAAAGGTAGCAAATACTGACAGCAGGGAGGTGTAGGTTGTAGGAAAACAAGGAGGCTAGGAAGCCAGGTAAGAACCTGGAGGTACAGATCACCTTTGTTCAAGGATTTGGGATTGATAGCCCCAGGTAAAAACCATTGTGTGGCCAATCAAAGAGCCCATCTATGCAAGGACAGATAGTCCATCGCTGGCCAGAAAAGAGCAAGGAGCTCACCTTGGGGAACTGGTAGGTGATCTCTGGGCTGTAGGCACACCCCCCACTCTTCCGGAGGCTCACCACCACCAAGTACTCAAAGAAATGCCCACTCTGAAAGTATGTCTCAGGAGCAGACCTCTCCAAGGGGTCGTCCGGCTTGGCTGTGGGTGCCTGTAGACCCGACTGAGATGCCTGCTCTTGCCCTGGTGACAGATAAGCAATCAACTACTAACATTTTTGCCTAGTGGGAATGAAAAATGAAGGAATGGGTAATATTTTTTGCTTGCAAACCACCACCACATCTTGACTTGCCTAATCAGATTTCCCTGGAATTCTAGACAGCCAGTTGGACTTGGACCCCTGAGATTTAAACTCCCCTCCCCCACAAAATGTTTTGTTTGAAAGGGTTTTTCTCCCACATCTCATGTCTGTCTCCTCACTCTTGGAATGAAAATTGATTCTGGATTCCCAGCATTAAGTAAATGGGTGGATGAACTAGTCCACAACATTAACTGGTCCATAGCCAACTAAAAGCAGAACCCTTAACATGTAGGCCTGGTGTGAACTTGTCATGAAGCCAAGCACTCATCAAGAGATTAAGAACTACAAAACCAGCAGTGACCAGATCTAGACAGAGGCAGGCCATTTTGAAGCTTTGATTCACAGGGTACAGAGTCATGTCTGAGCTGGAGAGTGGACAAGACTACTGTAGACACACTGTGTCCATTAGAAATGTGGCAATTGTTGACAAATCAAAACTCAACACTGGAAAAACTAGCTTTCCTCATTTCCGTTTCAAGCGCAGCAAGTGACTCATCTCAGAAACTGCAGTGGAATTTTTTCTCTATCAGCCTGCAAAAGTGAGACACAGACGCATTACACAAAGCATACTTTCTTACTGTAGGTGACTAACTAAATGTATCCAACATGATACACACACAACATGATACACACATAACATGATACACACACAACATGATACACACACAACTTGATACACACACAAATGCTCTGATCAAGTACACCGTGAAACAGCTTTATGGTGTTTATTCAGGTGTAAAATCACCGCCTGAAGCTGACTAACATAGCCAGTGCATCACAACCAAATGTATTTTCTTGTGCATGTAAAGTTTACAAACTCAGAAGATGCTCTAAGCAAATAATCAAGAACAAATCAATGAAAATACATTTTAACTGATCTTCGCATATCAGTTATTGTCACAGGAAATAACTCTTGTTGTAATAGATTATATTAGTCCTTATTAAAAAAGTAAATGAAGCTTCTTCAGATTATTTTTCGGGATACATGTGTAAAGTTACCTAATTGGTTCAATTTATCCTTAAATAAAGAAAAACTAACAGCAGATGGACAACAAAATGCTGAAAAATTCTAAATTTGCCATATTTAAAACTAAACATGCCTTATAAGCTAAAATCAAAATTTAAACTGTATACTTTAATGGGAAGTTAAAAACAACAACTTAATATAACTGGGTGTAAAAATACATTATATTTTTTCAGCACCTTTACTGGAAAATTATTTTACTGAAGTTGCACTCAAATTCGACGGAAGGGAACAATGGAGGTTCCATATTAAAGCTTAAATACAGATCCCCACAGTTCCAACAAACACACCATGCCTAGAAAACTTCTGGATGGCAGACCATACAGACCTCAACCTCTTCTGGGGACCCTGATCTTCCTCCCCATCCTTACCAGTCACAATGGCACCTTTTATTTTAGGTAGGGGGGTGGGGGTGGTGAGGCAACATCTATCCCTGATACGCAGCGACCTGGCAGATGCTCTTTGCCCAAAGTAACATGACAATCGCTGAGATACACCCTGGGAACAAACTAGAGAGTAATCCAGGTCATGAATCTTAGTCGGTTACCCTGCAAGGTTCTATCTGGTGCATGAATAAGCGACCTGCTGGTTGTGCTTATATTTTCGGTTAGTGATGCTGAAATCCACACCTGAAGGGCCAATTTGCAACATGGTGTGCAGATTTCCCTGCCCCAAAACAACCTATTAAACCTGGTAATTACCTGGTTAACATGCGATTGAGCAGGGAAATCTGCCAACTGAGTTGGATTCTGGCCTCCAGGACCGGAACTGGACAACGCTGCTTTAGGTCAACAGGCAAAGAGCCCCACATCCTCATGCCTGACCTACTTTTCTTACAAAACCAGATAAAAACCAAGCAAGGAGCTCGAGCTGCTTTCGCTTTCCAGTCTGCACACATCCACCTCCTGTAAACAACAGGATCACTCATCTCTTTACGTCAAGTAACATGGCAACAGCACATACAGAAATCGCAAACAAAAATGCATTTTTGGCACTTTAAGGGGCTGGGAGTCAATGAAAATGTCGCAAGTTAAATTCAGTGCAATGCATCCATCTCGACAACAGTGAAGTGTTAGTAAAATAGAGAGATGAAAGGGTGGTTGGGATTGTGAAGCTGTGGGCAGGTGCCTGTGACACACCAGCAATACTGGAAGCCATTAAGGTCCGCCCCCCCATCCCATGACCGAGTACGTGATTCTCAACCCATGGGTCACGAACCAAATTTGGGGTCGCGAGGCAGAGCTGGAAAATCCCCAGTCCTAGAATTATTCTATATAAACAGATCTTGGGTCTACAAATGCTTAGTACAAAACTGGTGAACACTCAACCAATCCAAGAAGCCAAACTACAGATGCTTAATTTAAAATTCACTAGCACATCCAATCAGATTTGCGCGATAGGCATTGATTAGCATATATTGCGGAGTACACAACGTGTTTGATCATAGCGTTAATGTAAACCTACACTTGATATAGGGTCGTGACTCAGTGGGCATTGGATTGTGGTGCAAGCAAGGTTGACATCATCAGCATTCACACTTAGAAAAGCCTTATCACATGAGCAGCAGGCCTTTTGCCACGGAAGGGGGGGCGGGGGTGACTAAGCAATTTGGGTTACATTCCTGACAAACGGACAAAAGTAGAGGAACCGGCTTAGTCACTTTGTCCTGTGTGAACAGCTGTTAAGGTTTCATTGCAACAACGAGCCACGTCAGTCTGGCGGATTTTCAAAGCATGCAAACATGGGCTTCTCAGTGTGAAAATTAGCTGTCACACAACGATGTTTTTGGCTGGAGGATCGCAGGGTTCGGTTACCACAAGCGAGACTCAGAAGAGAAAGTGAAAAATCAGCTTGTAAGTTACGGCACACAGGACCCCATTAACATGAGGGGTAAATATTTTCCCTTGACAACTACCCTCATTGACTACAGTCTTTTTCCACTGAAAACTGATTTCAGACGTAGCATTAATAAGGTAATGTATACAACATAATATTAACACTATGCCCCAGTTATAGGGCAGCTTATAAGCAATAAAGTAGAAAATACAGTAGATTACACACACTTCGATGCGTGTCTTTTTGGTACTCTCCGACGCAAAAACCATGTATTTTGTATGGTAATAAGAAAACTACAGAGGCAGACTTTCAAGTAGGCTACTAATGCCATTCACCGTTTCCTGCCTAAACATTTTACAGCGCTTTCTGTGTATGAATGCGCAAAAGAAAGAGGGTTTGGCATCATTGGCCGGAAAAGCTTAAAACAGACAGCCTACACAATCCCGATCTCGGTGCGCTTCTGCTGTCAGACACCGGTCTCTTCTGCTCAGATAAACGCTAGCGGTCTGGCAGCCTGTCGTGGCGTCAACTGACAGCGGAAAGAACAAACAGCCTGTACCGGGTTTGAAAGCGTAGTCAGTTCGCAATATCTGCTTTAAAAACGCACCGATATAGGCCTACATCGCCCACGTGTTAATAAAAATACATTCATAAATTAAAAAAATATAAACAAACAAAACTGCGCTTTAAAATTCACATTTTATACGCAAACTACGCGATCAGAAGTTTAACTTAAAAGCAGAATATAAGACGATGTAATCAAGAAAAAAAGATTCCAGCCACTATATAATCACCCATGCGTCAATTAATAAACTGTAATAAAGTGCGTACTCACTTCTTGTGTTTTTCAGAAAATTAGGAGCGATGTTTCTTAGACGAGCCCGAGCCCCGTTTATCTTGTCCCAGTTCATAGCGCCCCGTTAACGTCTGGAATTGGCAGCCCTCGCCTTGCATTTATTCAGTTTTCTTTAAAATCGCCATGAAGACCTAATTTAACGCAAAATCCCGGAGCTCACGTGTGCCACAGCAAGAAGAACAGAAGCTTTAGAAGTTTCCCCGTTTCTTTTTCAGCCGCGTCCGCCTGGTGTCATGCGTGTTCGATAGGATAATAATAATAAGATAATAATAAGATTATAAGAGAGTTGGGCTCCCGGCTTTACCCCCAGCAAAGGAAACCCGCGTGAGCGCTGCACTTTCGCTCTCAGGCTCGTGCTGTTTAAAGTTCACACTAACTCACTGACGTCAAATTCCTCGTTCGCATCTGCCTTGTGGTTATTTCTATAGATCCAGTAGATCTTTAAACTTATTGGATATAGCTAATGGAGGAATCTGCAAAAACATTTAGAAAACTGCAAATTTGGAACCTGCAATACAAATAAAGGCACATCTTAACGGCATGCAAGACTGGGGAGTTGGTGAGTAACGGAGTTGTAAAAACACCAATAATGCGTATACTGGCTGAATTTGGTTCCGCTCATGGGGAATCCGTAACAACGACTTAATTGCTCGCAGTGGTCAGCCTTTGCCGTCCTAACATACAGTCACGTATATTCATGTATTCTTCTGAACCCCATTAAACCAAAACCTGTCCCATTTCAGTTTTCTTTGTAGTGCCAAAGAGTATCCTGAATATTGTTAGTGCACTTTCTAACGACACACGTGACATCACCCCTAATAAAAAGTATTTATTTTCGGTCACATTATATTGCACTAGTTAAATAAATATATACAATAAAATGAGGTGGAGAGTACAAAACAAGACAGATGGCTACTAGAACAACATAGCGTCATCAAATCATATTTAACGTCACACTACCTGCCAGTCTGTTAAACAACACCTGCACACGAATCGGTTCCTAAGCCCACGCTTCCGTTTCTCCGTTTGCAGTCCCTACTCTGAATTTGTCATCACCATGCAGTAGTTAAGTTAGTCTGATATTATTCTTTGATCCCTACCTCATAAAACCAAAGTGTCCGATCGACGTGAAACTTCATTAAAGCTTCATGGTTATATGCATGGGTATTTCTCCGTGTGTGTGTGGGGTGGAGACTCATGCTTATTGGACATGGTTGAGAGAGACCATCTGAAACCTGTCAGCTGATGCCCTGCCGTTCCGAGGCGGACGTGTCTCCGGGTTATCGAAATCGGACCCGTGGTTTTATTGCTGGCGCGGACGTTAGAAACGCAGCGCTGGTCACGCAATCCGACAAGGTAGCAGCACATCAAAGAAGGGGAGCCGATCACTCTGCAACCCGCGCTTCTGCTTCAGCGGTTGCTTGCCTAGATTTTGCAATACTTACGAAGTGTGTTTTAAAGCTACTCTAAAGGTCGTGGTGATGGAAAAAAAAACCTTTTCTTCCGCCGAAGTTTCCTTTGGCATCTGTGGTTTGCACGGCTGGATTCCTGAGCTTTCGGTGGAACCCGTTTAACGGACATTGTGAGGAATTATTTTCTTCACGTTCTTTGGTGCTTACGTTATAAATATCCCCAAGTGAACCTATCCGTTTTGGAGGTAATACTTATGCACGCTTCACATTACCTGTGTTAACTGGAAACGTTAAGTGCGTTTAAGATCTAACGTAATTATATTTCTGAAAAGCTTATTTCTGATAGAATGGTATCATTCCGTAACAACATGAGACCGCCCAATATGTTTTTATTATAAGGAAAATAGCACTGAAAAGTTTGTAAATGGGAGAGAACGGAAATGTCGGATAGGAATACAATCTCCAGGTCTTCTGCTTCTTATGATTTCATAAGTCTTCTCCTTTTCCTCGTAACCAGCTACTCTTTCAGCAGAAAATGTTAGTCAATGAAAAACTTCCAAGAACTGGATACGTGACCTAGTTTCATGAAGTACTCACTTTGTGTGCATCAACATGTATGACGAATAGAGTTGCAAAAGGGCGAAAAAGTTCCAGAAACTGTCCATGGGAAATTAAGTTGGCGAAGGAGTTTCATTATTATTCATTATTTATTCAACAAAAGTAATTTATGATGCTGTGTGCCCTCCATTTGTAAACAATTTATCTTACAGTGGATGGATGGAGCTGGAATCTTTTGGAGATGGTCTTGTAGTCACCACCTTCTTCCTGATGTCCTCAGATGTCACCTTTCATCTCGCCATTGTTGATCTGTGTGCTTTATGCCTTGGTGGTTTGTTTGGTTTCCTCTCTCTTTTGTTGCCTTGACCCACACGAGATAGTCTATGTTTACATCTGGCCTGAGGAGACTTGACCGCCCACCACTCTGTCGGTGGATCATGGTTTTTCTGTCCTCAGACCACTCTCAGTAGGTACTCACCAAAGCTGACCATGGGCACCCCACAAGCCTTGTAGTTTCAGAAGCCATTTGGCCATAATGGTTTGGCCCTTGTCAAAGTCCCTCAGGTCTTTACCCCTGATCATGTCTTCGGCACGACTGCGAGTGCCGAATATAAACCAGACCTTGACAAGCACCATATTTACGAGTTGTCATTATATATATATCACATATATAAAATTCCCACTGCTGACCCTGAGATATAAACCTGGTACCTTCTGATTACAAACATAGCAGTGGTTTGGATTGCTTATTGCTCTTCTACAGGTACAAATCCCAGGAATGTCAAAGTTTTGTAATCTAATCCAAGCATGGAGTCAAAGGCCTGCTAGATTTGTTGACCTGTCCTAATAAGACAGGTTTTGGTGTTACTGTATTACACCTATATAATTAATATAGTTTGCTTGTGTTTTATCACTGGATGACAAATGGCTTCTCAGTGGATACTCTGGTTTCTTCCAGCAAGTACGAAAACTTACTGTTAGATTAACTGACATCTTTGAATTTCCCATAGTGTGTTTTCCCTGGTGAGCCTACTGTTATTTTGTGTTTTAGGTTTTGTTTTTTCTTTCTCCTAGAAGCCATATACCTGCACATCACTGAGGTATTTGTCAACCACTAAGAGCCCTGTGATTCTGCTTCAGGTTAATCTTTCCCAGTGTGATTTGCCACATATCGATAGTTATGCAGATTGCAGTGTTTGGCTCAAAAAAGCTTTTGTCACAACTTCACGGATGCCGGACGTTTTTTTGTTGCGAACCACTTTTTGAAAGCTTGTTTTAACTGTGATAGCCATCTATCTTGCCTAAAACTGATAACCTCTTCTGTACCTGTTGTCTCTGAGATAAATGTTAAAAGACACTCTAGCAATAAAACTGATAAAACCTGGTCTATAAACAGTGTTTGGTACTGGAATTGATTTTTAAAATGTCTAGTGGCCGCTGTGTCTGTGCTTCCTACAAACCGACTTGTGAAACCGACTTTGCCAAGCAGATAACTGGTAGGCTGCCTCAAGAGCTACGAGCTTTTATGCTGTGCAGTTGGTCTTTGCTGCATGTCGCCGTGTGTGAATGACATAGCCTTGAAAGGAATTGAATTTATAGTTTGGCACTATCCAAAGCCCATGAGGTATATTTAAAACACGGACAGGAACTAAGGCGTCTAGCTAGAAATTCTGGACCCTCCCCCTAGGGTTGGCACTTCTAATCTGAAGAAATGCGAATCCCATAGTAGGTAGAATTTACATAGTAGGGCGGGGGGGGGGTAATCTCTCAGTACATTAGAGGTATTCAAGCTTTTTCGCAAGGCCTCCCCTACGGCTGATATATTTGTCCTGATCACCCCCCATATAAACTCAGTGGGAAGGATGTGAAACTGAGGTCAGATGTTTCAAAATCAGAATTGGAGATGCTAGTCCCTGCTTTTATTTATTCACGTCTAGATTATTGTATCGTTCTGTATTCAGGGGCCTGTACTACAAAGCAGGGTTACTGGCTTATCGGGGTAACTTGTCGGATTTAAGATAGTCTGGGCAAAATGTAAGTGAGCGAATATGAAGTCCATTTAAACAGTTTTACCTTAAATCCGACAAGTTACCCCGATAAGCCAGTAACCCCGCTTCGTAGTACAAACCACACGTCTGAACAAATCTCTCCTTTCTCAGCTACAGTTAGTTAAAACGCTACTGCTTGGCTTTTCACCAGAGAGCACATATCGCTCCAGTCTTGTATTCTCTGCATTGGCTGCCAGATCTTTTTAGAGTTCAGTTTAAAATCCTGGTTCTCACTTATAACCCCCCCCCCCCTGCAACCAAAGGAGGGAGGCTTGCGGGGGGACCTGGGAATTGTGGCACACAAGCCATGATGACAACTGCACTCCCCCAGGGTTGGGTTGTGCTGGACTCAGGGTTGCCAGGGATGGCGGACCCTTTGGCGGGAGGTGATAGGATGGTGGAGGGCCGGTCAGACGATTCAGATCACTGGCATGCCTTGTGAGGCCCAGCTCGTATGTGTTAACTGTGTTATTTAAGTGTGTACCATGCATTTACATTGTAAATAGTACCGTATCCATGTAATACCCAAGTAGTGTTTTCCGTGTAGTTGTGTGTTTTTCAATAGTATCTTCCCCTAGTGAAGATTGTAGAGTTCCTCTGTCTGTGCCGCAGCTGATTGTCCCTGGCAGTGAGCTCTTAATAAAAGAGGAACCTCCAGTCCTTTTTATGAAGAGCTGTCTACTCCTGACAATGCTAGAATGCCTGATTAGGTTAGTTATGTATTAATATGTATTTTGGGGACCAGGCTTCGAGTCTCTTTCAGGGTTCCATGTTTGTGGAGTCTGCATGTTCTCCCTGCGTCACCATGGGGTTTCCTCCAGATACTCCAGTTCCGTCCCCCTGAGTTCAAAAACATGCTGAGGTTAATTGAGGTTATCAAATAACCCGTAGGTGTGCATGTCGGTGCGATTAGTGTGTGAGTGTGCCCTGTGATGGGTTGGCACCCCGTCCTGGGTTGTTCTCTGCCCTGTGATGGATTGGCACCCCGTCCTGGGTTGTTCTCTGCCCTGTGATGGGTTGGCACCCCGTCCTGGGTTGTTCTCTGCTCTGTGATGGGTTGGCACCCCGTCCTGAGTTTGGACCCCCGGAAACCCTGAACAGGGCAAGTAGATACAGAAAATAGATCGATATATGTAATGTGTAAATAGTTGACAATCTGTTTTTTAATCGTTTTCTTTTCCATTGGCTCCTCCAAATACCACATATGACGAATAAAACAAATTGAAGAGTAGTGCTGAATGGTTATAGGTAGAATATATGAATCACAATTTTTTCATACTCAGACTGGAAATTGCAATTTTCTATCGCGATTCATGAGTAAAATATTACTCTCTTTATTATATTTTTACATTACATATTACCCTTATTGTAAGGCTTTGCAACCAGGGAAGAGGCAGACCCCGAAATGCAGGAGAACGCTTTCAGAGAATGATTCAGAGAACTCAAAAGAGAGGTTGGGTAGGTAGCGGTGGGTCAGTAGCCGGGAGGGTCAATCTTATGTTCAGTGACGGGATGAAGAGACAAAGAGATGGGAGGA